GTCCCCTCGCCATCTCCTAATCGCTCTAGCAGAGAGAGCGGTGGCGTTGGTCAGCACTAAAGAGACTAGTCTAGCGCACAAATCAACGAACAAAGAAAAGGTCTCATTTTTCGGATATCGGGGAGATTTCCTTGAATTTTTCCTGTATCCGTACACCACTGACTACCTCTGCGTACATCGATTTCTAATGAGGTGTTTTTTCATCGTAAAACTCCGCCTTTGAAGAAACAGGCCATCATAGCGTGCTGGCGCGATCAGACATCATTCAATTCTCACTCTGACTTCTCTACCCTCTAGCAGGCTAGTCGTTGGAAGATAGCGCGGATATTCTTATACCTAGTTCACCTTTGCTGTTTGCCACAGGGCGGATCTACATGTATAATGAGTGATAAATGGAACTTTTACATATACAGGTGCAAAGTCTTGGTACAGCACTGGTGCTCACCTCCCATAGTATGGACGAATGTGAGGCGTTGTGTACGGAACTTGCCATCATGGTTTACGGTAAGATCCTGAATATTTCAATCATTCAAAGGCAGAAATGGGTCCGGCTTTCCTTTTTTCGAAAATTTCGCTGTTTTGCAAGCTTTCAGAACTGTGTGACAATCTTTAACAACTCCTTATTTCTCCTCACAACGTTGAGATTCCAGGAAAGATCATCAGGCTTACTTTCAGGAAGATTCAAATGTTATGGTAGTTGTCAACACATAAAAAGCCGTTATGGGGCCTGGATACACCTTACTTGTGCGAATGAGGCGGTATGAAGATGCTGAAGGAATCAAAAGTGCAATACAGCGGACTTTTCCTGGAGCAGTTCTGAAGGTGAGATTGGTTTGGATTTATGCTTCTAATAATGATCCCGGCATTTGTTTCGGTGTGGGTTCTTCGACGATAATCTGCAGCTGTCCTTGAATTGATGAATGTAGAGCTTACCTAGTGAAAAGACAATCAGACCTCCTTGGGGTGCGCACCGCCACACAATTCGAAGGATGCGCTTCCAGCGGTCTGTTGGGCCATATTCGCGGCGCAATGAACGCGGCACGCCCACCGACTGGCTAACCACTCGCCAAAGGTCACTGACTTTAGCGGAGAGAGAGAGAGCGTTAGCGTTGAAGAGGGCAGCACCGATGAGAGTCGCATCAATGCGGAAGTCAACAAGCAAGGAAGAGTCCCATTTCTCGAGTCATGGAAATGACTCGTTTTTGTGTTTCATTTATATGTCCCCCCGCATGTTCTCTAAAAAATTTAATTTATCTGCCCCGCATGCTTCTCTAAAAAATTGAAGTCAAGAACGGCTCCCATCGCAAGAGTTCGATCGTTATGTGTAAATGCAGTATGGATCGAAAATAATATCAATCACATAAAATTAATCGATCATGTTCAGGAGCATCACCTTCTTCAACTGAACTACGAGCTGCAAAAACGCGCCGGTATGACATGGTCATCGTTGTTCGACAAGATGGAAGAACTTTCACAAGAGTTCAATTTTGAGGACTATTCTTTGAGTCAAACAACGTTAGAACAGGTACTTCTTGTCGTGTCATAATTGTCGATTAACACGTTCATGATATTTCACTTTTACTATTTTGGCACGTGGGCCAGACGCGGTTTTGCGAGCGCAGCCCTGTGGTACCTACAGCGCGCCACGTTGCCGCGAACTGTCTACCAAGCTAGGTCCACTTGTGTACCGTGCTTCATCATTATGCAGAATGGTTATTGAATTCGAGCAATGCTTTCATTCCATGAGGGTCTGGTGATTAATCAAGGGCAACTAGGAACGGTAATAGGACGTACGATGTTCCCCTACGTGCATTATCGATTGATTGTAAATGTGTTAGAGGTAAAAGGTTTAGATTATACGAGTTACATGACACGACACACATGTGCACACATTCATAGATTAGGATTCACCAAACCCTAGACAGACTGCGTTGGGTATCTGCTATAATACCCTTTTAGTGACGTCCAGCTGCACTTCCAGTTTTAGGCGCCAGAGGTCCTTCTCAAGAATGACTGGAAGCCACGTATGATCTTTACAGCTCGCTCTCCATCGTAATTGTACCACTGACTCAGGGCCCGATCAATAGCAAAAACAGAGCCAAACACAGCGCCGATTTTATCCACAGTTATCCTACTATATATAATTCGCTAAGTATGTCTGTGTGTGTGCGTCTGTTTGTCACGAAATTCATAGCGCGCTTCGCTGCAACGATGGAACGCTGTAATTTTAGTATTATGTAGGGGCCAGGACGGGAACATATTTGGTGGGGGTCAGAAAGTGATAACGACTGATAAGCTGATAAGAGGCGCTAAACGCAAATTTCACGAAATTCATAGCGCGCGTCCCAGCAGCAGTGGGGCGTTGGTTCCAAGAAGTGATGTGGAGGGTGGGACGGGAACATATTTGGTGGGGGACAGAAGTGATAACGGCTGATAAGGGCTGATAAGAGGCTT